TGCGGTGTTCAGCCAATCACAATGCACTGGGTCAGCTGGCCAATCAGAGCAGACTGCGCTTGTCGGAAGGAGGGACTTTGTAGAAAACGAAGCGTTTGAGAGAGGCGGGGCATAGAGGACCTACAATAATGTACAGTATTTGAAAAATAATGTGTTTTTTTAACATTAAAGCATGTCAACATATTCTGTTACACCAGATACACAAAATAATGATCTTTAAAAAAGCATCATATAACCCCTTTAAATGACTAAAACTGCTGTTTTTCGGTGTTAAATATTTCAAATCGAGATTAGACGTTAGGCCGTTTTAAAAAATGCCACAAAAAGACCTTTCAGTTTATTGTGGTGTTGATGATTAATGCTGCATGATGATGATGATGATGATTATTTTAAACATGATAGCTTTTAATTAATACTTGAAACAAGTGTAACACCAATAACTGTGCAAACTTCATAATTATTATTATTATTATTATTATTATCATCATTATCATTATAAATCCATCAGAAGGATTTTTGGTGTATGGATCAGCAGTAGGCTACATTATCATCTTCATTTCCTACGCACTGAAGCACTATCAAATGCACGCTATAAACATTTATGAGGCATTTCTATAGAGAAGTCTGTTAAATGTCATCATGCCAAAATGCACTTTGTTTTCTACATCATTAGAATTTAATATGTTTTTTTTTTTGCTATTTAATGAATAATTCCACTGAAATAACAATGTGAGAACATGAAAAGAGACTTTTTTACGATGCTTAATGGACTTGATAAGATAAATTCAAATACGTTAAGTGTTTTTATGTGTTTTCTTTATTCCTTTTGTTTTCGTGCATGTGTCCAGACCTTCATTTATCTTTCATAAACATGATTCCGTCTCCTGTCACCTTCTCATCTCATCGAATGCATTAAGGCCATGAATTAAGGCTTCTGTTGTCTTGGTGTGGAATTAGAGGAAATGATTTTTAACACCCATGTAAATGTCCAAAGCTGAATAGAGAAGAATCTTACTATTTTTCCTCACAATGGGCAGTTATTTATTTTATTTGGTTATTGGACATATCTTTAGCTTCAGAACAAAATATTATACTAAAATTATTTCTGGATTCTGTTAATCACATAGTCACATATTCTGTACGAAAAGAGTAATCTTTTATTTTTTTATTTGTTTTTATTTTATTTTTTTAGTTTTAGTGTAGCAATAAATCTTGCTTAAAACATTTGTGACTTTATTTAGGAGTTAAATTTTAACTACACATCCATGTACAAAATAATGGGGCTAACTGTCCTCCAGCAGTGAGACCTTTCACTGATCATATGGACTGAATCCAGGAATCCCATATTTAGTCCTATACTTGACCCTTTTCCTGACCTCAAATCTCAGAAAGAAAGAAAAAAAAAGTAGTGCAACCCCACATATCAGCATGCGGTTCAGTAAATTTAGGTGGCATCAGGTCTCTGTGTGTCTCTCTATTGTGTTCACACATGAATGAACACTGACCAAGCTCAGACTAAATTTATTATTCAAGAGCATAACAGAGGTGAGTGAGTATGCAGGAGAGCCACTCAATGTTAAGGATGATGTTTACCCTTGCTTAGCGTTTGTGATAAGTGATAAGACACAGCAGCTGTCCCGCTGGGCTGGGGTCAGGGAGCATTTGTTTGTTTGTTTGATAGTTGTAATGCATCGTTTAGTGTTGCAAAAAGAGGGCTTGCTTATGGGGAGTAAACATTGAACAAGAATGCTGGGGAGAGAGAGAAAGAGAGGGACAGGGATGAGAGAAAGGGGGAGACTAACGTTAGACAGAACACTTACAGGTGATACAGGGCTTGAATAAAAGCAATAGTTCAGTGAAAATTTCAATTCTGTCATAATTTACTTACACAAAAGCCATACAAGTTTAAAATGACATGAGAGTGAGTAAATTTACCAGTCTAAATGTTTGTAATAAGATTTTGTAATGTACAAGCACAGTAACTTATGCTCACCAATGCTGCATTTAATTGATGTAAAAATACTAATATAGTGAAATATCATTAAAAAAAATGATATTTTCTATTTTAATATATTTTTAAATGTAATTTATTCCTGTGAATGCAAAGCTGAATTTTCAGCATCATTACTCCAGTCTTCAGTGTCACATGATCCTTCAGAAATCATTCTAATCATTCTAATATGCTGATTTGGTGCTCAATAAACATTTCTTATTATTATCAATGCTGAAAACCGTTTTTGCTGCTTAACACTTTTTTGTTTTTGTTTTGTGGAAACCCTGATACACTACCAGGAAATACTTTTATTCAGCAAGGACAAATAAAATGGATCAAAAGCAACATTACAGACATTTATAATTAATACTGTTTTTTTTACTTTGTTCATCATTAATATGAATTAAAATGAGGGATGTAACGATTCACTCAACTCACGATTCGATTCTCGTTACATCCCTAGTTAAAATGATCTACAATTAACATACAGGAGGTTTCAACATCCTCTGATTAATTGCACATACAGTATAAGAGCGTAATATCATTATGGAGGACAAATCTAATATTTTCAAATGTTTCTAATCTGATCATGAAACTGTCATTCAAAAACAATATTCTCTTTGAGGTCAAGTAGGAGGCCAAACATCTCATTTTGCTCAAAGTATATTCAAGCAGACATTCTAGATATAGGAAGGCATTTAAAAAAAGGTTCAGATTAGTGAAACAAGTGTTTGTGAAAGGTCAAGCTGTGGACATTAGGTCTTACACACATACACATATGCAGACACTGCATGGCCGGCGGTGCCACTCGTGGTTAGTGATATCATTATGGCAGTTTTGCATAAAGGGATTAGGACTCTCTCGCTGATGGAGAGTGACAGTGGCCCCTTGCTGCCGAAGCACACTGCCCCGGAACATTTGGAGGTGGGGTGCACTGGGGGGAGCATCGGGGGTGGCCCATTCACATCACCAGTGTGCCGTGCGACATTAGTGTAGTCCAACTCTTTTCCTCACTCTTGTTTGCCTGTGGGTCATTTGTTTGTGATCAGTACATTATATCAAACACAGTAATGTGAGTAAAAAAATCAATAAATGAGAAAAAAAAGCATGATTGGTTGGACAGATTTTTGTAGGATTAAATACATTCTTTAATAATTAACTTTAAATGTAAATTACTCAATAGTGCCCTATAGGAATAATAGTATTTGACCAGTTAACATGAGTACATAATGCTTTTTGATTTCGTTTTTGATTTACAAAAAAAATTTTTTAAATACACTAACGATGTAATGTTTTTGAGGAGCCTGCTGAGGTCTTTTCTGTCTGTGTTTGGCTGCAGGCTTTGACTTTGAGGATTATGAGGTCTCCATAGGGAACAGTCTTCTTTGGATGAACTGTTGGGGGAGGGACTTCCATATGAGTGTTTTCTGGTCCACTAAGCAGCAGATACAAACACGCACACACATGCATGCACTGACCCACACTCAATGGCTGCTGGTATTTGGTACTGATTATTGACATCTGCTGACTATATGGTATTCCATCTCTCTTTCTGTCAAGTTCAATTCAGGTTTATTGGCATAAATACTGAAGTAAAGTATTGCAAAGAGGGATATTTCAGATTAAATAAAGAATGAATTAAAAAATATTTTTGATGCTATAACATATTGTTTATGCTTATTTTTAGACTTCATATAATAAAATACTTTTATATACACCTTAATAAATTATTATATAGCTAAAATCTGGGGTAAAATGTCTAATTTATTGCACAATTCTGAGGATAAAGAAATAAATCTTGCTTCGATTAAATCACAGTGTCTACTTATCTTCTGCTATTTACTTAATTATGAGTAACTCCATTATGAGTCTATACTAATATTCAAAAGTTTGGGCTCTGTAAGATTTTACATTTTTTGAAAAGTCTCATATGCTCACTAAGGCTGCATTTATTTGTTCAAAATTGCAATAAAA